AATATACATCCTAAAGATCGTATGCTTGGTTGTTCAAATTGCTGGGAAAATTGCTTTCTTCTATGAATTTTTTTCTTCTGTTTTTTACTCCACTCACCTTGGTTCATAAAATCTTTCCAGGGATACTTAAAATCTCTCTTGAAAAGGTCACTAATGTGTTTTCCATCTTTAATTAAAAAAACATCTGACAACTTTCTACACAAAATGTAAATATTTTATAAACTAGTGAAAGAGAGTCTGCTGTTAATTGTCTTTTCTTCTTTTATATTTATACATTGCAGATTCAAAGTATGAGGACGCCTGTAGCAAATTAACAGCAGGTACTGTATATTTTACAGGATTATTACCTCAGTTGGTTCAAAGAGACCCTATACCCTTTTGTAAGAGTCTACACTGCCCATTAAATAAGAATACAGCTCCAGAACCCGAGAGAACAGTCATTCTTTTAGGAGAAATCAAAAGTAGCATAGTTGGAATCTGAGAATACAAAAGAGTGGTTGTTTGTAGTCCAAAGGTACTGTAAGCTTATCCGGCAGTCAGCTTGCTGGTGATTTAAGTCGCACATGAAATATCAACATATCAAAGAACACAGTAACTACCATTTTTGAGAAGCTGATATAGAAGCACAGTTGAGATTTTTTTTTCCAGAAGCCACTAAAAAATTAGGTATAGTAGAAGCTGCAACAAATTCATGTCAAAAGAACTAAAATAATGTTATAGACAGATTTTAAAAAATGGTAACAAGCATTTTTTCTGAAGCAGAATCAAATTAACAATGTCCTCAAGATCAAAATGGTTCTGTTTTTTGTTTTGTTTTGACCAGCATCTCTTCAGGAGGTAAAAAAAGAATCCAGATTACATGGGGGAAAACCCTCAGGATCAGGAGACCGTGCCAACTAAACACAGACGGCAGTGAAGGGCTAAAACCCAGGATCCAAGAACTGAGGCACTAGTGCTAGCTGCCACACTTGCCTCATTTCAATGAATGTGTTCTAAATGCTAAAGCAGCATTTGTCCTGCCCAAAGCAGAATATGCACTGGTAAAATGTGGTAGTTTAGTTTTCAGACAGTGAGAGTTTAGCAACAGTACAACTTTACAAGGACTTCTCCTTTGACTAACAATTGAGACATGGTATCAAGGCTATTAAAAGGAAATGTGACAATTTTCAGAATTATTAAAAAATATGAACATGACAGCAGTTTTACTGAATGACATCACACACTAGTCAAAATAAATTAGTCAATTTAAATTTAAAATTTTAAAACTGCAAATGAAGAGGGACTCTTAAACAACCAGAGGCAGAGAAAAGATGGAAAAATAAAGGTCTCATCCTAAAATGCTCAGATAAGGTTAAGACTAGTGATAAAAGCAAATGAACATAATACATTAAAAATAAAAGGCGAGGACTAACAGTAGAGTAACATTTTTTAAATCAGAAAGCAAAATGCCGTTTGTCATCTGTAGTTACCTATGACATTTGATTTACTGTGACTTAACTCTTCTGTTAAGTTATGTTTTGTATTAATCAGATGAAATACATTTTTGATTACTTGGTAAAACATATAATACAACAAGTTTCCCATACCACTGTATTGTAATTAAATATACACACAATTGTTCGTTTTTGGTATTGTTTTGTGAGACAGTATATTGTAACTTGATTTTTCATGAATGAAAAGCATCTTGTTCTGTGCTCAGAGTCTGTATGCTAATCATTTTAACTTTTCTAAAATACATTAATCTTTTGCTGTTAGCATTCAACATATATAGCGAGTAGTCAGCCAGTGTTGATCATTTCCAAAGATAGATAAGCTAATAGGCAGCAGATAAAATGGCTATATTCGGGAGAAATGTTTATGGCACAAGTTCCCTTAAATTCTAATTTTCCGTTTACAACATTTTTTTTTATTAATCTCTCAGCAAGACCATTCAGAAAATGCACACAACTTAGCTGTCTCATTTGGGCAAGTCAGAAAATCAGTGACGTTACAGAATTAAAGTTAGACTTTTACTGTCTTTGCAGAGCACTAAAATACAGCAAACCCTTTGCAGTTGTGCTTGCTCACACATCTAAAGAAAAACAATAAAGTAAGTTATTAGATTCCATACCTTCCAGGTGTTTGTTGAGGAGAACCTGAATGAGCAGCCAGATGAAGAGGATGACAATGATGCCTTCAATCATGCTCTTGCAGCAGAAGAAGAAGACAGACTGCCAAAGTGGCTGTGCAGGGTACTCTGGATCCCAGTAAGGCATCGTGTAGCCTGGCACCACACAAACGGTGAACTCACTTCCTCAAGCTCCCCACACCTTGCTGTAGAATTCGTTTTTTATTTATTCTTTTTACGATGGGTTTTTGTCCATGTTCTCTCAGTTGCCTGCCACAATATGCCTCATCCTCTTTGCCTGTCGACTATTGTGATTCTCCCAACCTTCTTTCATTTCTCTCCTGTTCTGATTTAAAGCTGTATTTCTGTCTGCTCTTTACATCACTTGTCTATTTTCTTGCCCTCTTGCTTTCTTAGTGCACATCCCAAAATACCTTCCTGTGCCACTACAGATGTCCAGCTCTCTGGCCACTTTCTTTTTATTCCTACAAGGCAGAGTATTAGCAGAATCTCTTCAGTTGCTGCTCTCAGCTTCAATCACTGAATTTAACCTCGGAGGAAGGAAAACTGTCATTTCATAGAAATTAAAGTCATTCTTGTAAACAAATGTTTAGGTTCATGAGAAATTAAATATCTGTAAGATTTATGTGGCATGTAAAACACTCAGAGCAGCCTTTTCCTTTTAGGAAAACCAACATCACTTGTATTGGCTTTTAACCATATTACAATTCATCTATTGCTCCTGTTTGACAGCACAGTTTTTCTCTGAAAAGCAGGATACAAGTGTACCTTGTAGCTGGAAGACGTAGAATTGTGTTGCAGGGATGCCTCAAACGAGATGCTTACTGCTGTCCTCGTATCACTTTTCATCTCTCACCAGTGCTGGTCTTTGATTGCTGTAGATCCCCTCCCTTTTCCTCACTGAGCTCCAGCTGTCCCTTTAATTTGTAGGTTCCCAATCAGCCAGGCCCCAGAGGGCTTTACTCACATGATATAGAGAACAAGTGGATTCTCAGTGGGACAATCCACACTGAAAGGCTAAAAACTTGGAAGAATTAAGCACAGCTTTTGAAAATGTTTCTTTTAACACGTTTCCATGTATGCATGAAACAAATGGCGACAGGCAAGATCTAAACTCAGTCACATTGCTTCATAACAGGTCTTCCTCTCTCCCTGCTAATATCCAAGTTCTTTAGTATTAATGTCTCAACTAGCTGATGCTATTTCGATTAGACCTATATATTAAAAGTGGGGTCTGTGACGTAGACCCTGTAGCCCTATCTCCTATTCTCATGCAGTTCTCTATGGGCTATCTGATATTTAACATTTGGACAGTGGATTACAGTAAAAATAACAAAGGATCAGATTAAATTTGATTATGTAAAGAGAGTCCAAAACACAACCTTTGAGTTTCATCATGTTTCTCATCAGATAATCTTGTAGGTTCATAAGCTCTTGAAGGTTTTTTATTTAATCTGCAACCAAAGGAAACAGAGGTACTGGACAGAACTGAAAAATGGCAGGATGATTACTGTAAGCAATCATTTTAATTTTACTATTCATGTTTTAACACCTAAGGGATTTTTTTTGCTACAGAGTCCAAAACAATACAACAAAAGCAAACAAAAATCAGGGTAACAATATATCAGGAGATAAAATTTCACTTTTAAGAATGAGTTTGCAGAGGGGATGAACTGTCATGTTGGTGCAAATAACCGGGCTCTAAAAAATGAAAATGAATATTGTTTTCTTCAACTATTAGAGCAAACAGTTCCCTGAGCAGGTATCTGGATAACTAAGATGCAATGTTTGTTCCGGGGTTGGGGTTTGAAACTTCTACCGTTTGTCTGTTTTTTCACTCTACATTAAATGTAATTTATTCCAGAATCACTTTTCATTTCACGGGCAATACCTGTGGACACAATCTATACGATGCATGTGTACATTTTGAGTACTACCACGTGAATACAAATGCAATAGTCTAATGTTGGGGGAAGCTGGATAACCTGTGTTCTAGAAGTCAAATGGTGTTCATGACTGTTCATAAGAGGTGGTCTACAGTATTAAATCAACAGTAAACAAGTTCTTAATGACCCTGGATCACTATAGTTTATGTTTTCAAAACAAGTGGAAGGGATTGCATAGAAACTTATTTGCTTGTTACCAAATGTCCTTTAACAGTTTTAGGAATTTATCTACTGGTCATGATCCTGAAGAATTTATCAGAAAGCTAAAGCTGTTATTTCAATAAGTAGTCAATAGACTTTACATAATCGAAAGCTATGAATAACTAGTACTTTTTTCATAGCATGGGAACTTAACCCAAGGTATTTTCTTTTGCTTTCCCTTCTGATTCTTTCTCTTGTGAGAATGTACACAGCGATGTGAGGACTCAAGAGACAGCTGCATAATGCCACCTAGTGGTAATATGTAAATCGTGACCATGTTATACACAATGTTACTACAAGGAGATACAAGGTTTGAAATCACTAATGAAGCACGTACAGTAAATGACTGTTATGTCACTGTATGAATGCTTAAGATACAACACAAGGTCTGGGAAAGGAACATTAGTAATCCATTATTTATTTTTATAAAACAGTAGTGAAGCAAATTTAACATGAACTTAGTTTCAATGTTTATATTGCAATTCAATACAGAGAATATGAAGTGGCTTCCCCAGTGTTCAAGTCGAATATTTAAAAGAGCTCCATCCATTTCCCTCTCTTTCCTGCAGCTGTGTGAGAAGGATGTTTGACTACACTGACTACATCAGCTGCAGCAGGGCATTATTAGGTTCTCCTTTGATACACACTCCAGAACTCTGACGTTTTTAAGTAAGTTAAGTATGTTTTTTAGGTATTTCACTCGCTCGAAGGTCTTCAGAGACAGTTTGCAGGAATGCTCTGCTGAGGCCCCAGCTGGGATCAGGGTCAGTATTTCCACACTACTTAGACAGTTTTGAAGCTCTGTGCTGGATTTTGGGTGCCAAGGGAACATGAGTACGAGTGATTATTTGCTCCTATCTGAATCTTTTTTTTTTCTGAGACTTTTGGCTGCCTTTGTTTGGTATTGCAGCACTCAGGAATTGTATTTGAAAACTGAGTAAGATCAAAAGGTGCAGTATAATGATAACCTGTTCTATTGAAGACCATGCATTTGCAATAACTGGCGGAGCGGTGGCTCTGTGGCTAAGGATCTGCACCTGTGACCGGAAGGTTGCCGGTTCGTATCCCGCGGCCGGCAGAGGAATCCTACTCCGTTGGGCCCCTGAGCAAGGCCCTTAACCCCAACTGCTCCAGGGGTGCCGTACAATGGCTGACCCTGCGCTCTGACCCCCAGCTTCTCTCCCTGTCTCTGTGTCTGTGTCTCCATGGAGAAAAAGCTGGGGTATGTAAAAAGACACATTCCTAATGCAAGAAATTGTATAGGGCTAATAAAGAAACATTATTAGTTTTGATTGCTTTAGAATCATATCTTTTGGTTTGAGGAACTTTCGCAAAAATTTTGATTCATCATCATCATCATCATCATCATGATCGGCAAGCTTCATTGCGGAGGAGCCGCCCCCATCAGCCACCTTTGCCAAGCCGTGTCCAGGCCTATATCCAGAGGTTTCAGGTTGTCCTCAGCCGTGTGAAGCCAGGTCCGGCCGGGTCTGCCCCTTGGTCTCTTCCAGCCGGCTGGGGTTTCTGAAGCTCCCGCAGCTGTCGCGCGATGATGAAGATCCTGACACGGGGCAGCTCCTGCCATGTGGCCGAAGAAGCAGAGGAATATCGGAGATCGATCAACTGGGAGATTGGTTGGCAACCGGTGGTGCGTCGAACTTCTGCATGCGTTGTGTGTCTGGCATAGGGGATCTGCAGGATCTTCCCCAGGCACCACATGTCTCATGCGTCCAGCCGAGCACATAATCATTGTGGTCAGCGACCACGTCTCGCATCCATAGAGCAGTACTGGGACAATGCAGGTCTCATATAAACACACCTTACTGTCGACCCTAATGCGGGATCTCCAGTCGTGTCTTTCGAGCTGCTTCATGCAGCTGCGCGCTATTGCCAGTCGTCGTAGTACTTCCATGCTGGAACTCCCTGATTCCTGAATGGTGCTACACAGGTAGACGAACGACTCAGGTTCTGGAACTGCTCAGTTGAAACCCAGCTACGGATGAGGCTAGCATTCACACACTACATAGAACATTTTTACGATCAGGGCTGGATTGTGCGACCTAAGCCAGCGCTAGGAAGGCTGATAATTTGCTCCTATCTCCAACCTTTTTTTTTTCTTTTTTTCAAGACTTTTGGCCGCTTGGATGTTGCAGTGCACGGTTCAGGGATTGTATTCCAAAACTGGAGTCAGATCAAAGGTTGTAAGAAAGCCAGTTCTAATGGGTTAACACTTTCAAATGTTCCAAAAAGTTGGAGGTAAGAGCAAATGATCACTGACTTGGGCCCCAGAATCCAGAGCTAAAGGTAAAAATTGTCTAAGTAGCGTGTGAATGCTAACACTGACCCTAGCTGGGGTTTCAAATGAGCAATTCTGCAATCTGTCTCTGAAGCCCTCCAGTCACAAAATATTCCTCAAAGAAAAAAATAGGAGTCTAAAATAATCAAAACTAGGGAAAAAAAGCTCTTGGAAAATCAATAATTCTTCAATATACTGTATATTCTTCAATAAAAAATCATCTGTAGGAAAATTTTCAGCCAGCTGACAAACACTGTTATACTAGCATCATATAAATACAATTTAAACAGCCAATCTCAACGGATTGAAAATATACTGCAGGTTTCCAAACACGTAGCCTTGGAAAGCACGTTGCAGATTTCCTATATTTTTTTAACATTTCACACTAGATCTGAGGTGAGGTCTGGTGTTGTAACCCCGGCGTCCTTGCCAAATTTCCCATTGGCCCTTATCAATCATGGCCTCCTAATAATCCCCCTCTATGATTTGGCTACATTACTCTCTGCTCTCCTCCCCACTGATAGCTGGTGTGTGGTGAGCATTCTGGCGCACTATGGCT